AAGTGTACTAAGAAATTAGACCACAAATACTTGATAATATTTTGGATGTTTGCAGTGTGCTATCCAGAGTCTGGGTTGAGTTTTTACGAGGCTAACTTCTTTCTACTCTTAGGTAAAAGTTCATACTTTATGCATTATTATTATTCTGTACTGAACTTTCACTTTCAGACAAACTGTAGCCTAATATCAGCCCACATAGCTATGGTGTGTAATGTGGTTCATATGATGAGGACCTAAACCAAAAATCCTCTGAGGAAGTCAAGTGAATTTAAGAACTTCAGATATCGTTAACCTGTATCTTGGAGTAACTTCAGTTCAGACGTTTTGGTTTTAAAATACTTTGAACTGTCTTGTTGCTGAAATGTTCTATAGTTTATTTGTATGATACAAATAAACTTGATTGAATAAATGATGTTCTGTCAAACAGTGAACATGGCAAGTTTGACTGACAGAAAAGCAAAATGCAATAAAACTGTAAAACTGACAACAGAAAAACAACTCAATTAAATAAAAACAGAAAAAAACATCATTTAATATTGTAGTAATCATTATTATTTGGAGAGCATAGTGGTCTGATACATAACGGCATGTTTGCTTATGCGTCTGTAAAAATGAAACCCAGCATAGTAATTACACCTTGACCTTGTTGCAGGCCTCTCTGGTGTTGCATCTTCACCACAAACCACCAATCAGGGCCTTCCACCTCCAGCCTTGTAAACACAGAGCCACAACAGGACGCTGTGGTTTCCTAGGAGAGAACAGAAACAGCGGAACTAGCGGTGCGTCCCTCCACCATGTTTCTGTTATGGTGTACTCGGGCTAACTGTTGACTCCTGGTTCTGTTGATGAAGGGGCAACCTGTTTACCAGTTCCTGGGGTTACTCTCCAATAATGAACCTGAATGCACCACAGATGTAAACAGTGGCTGGGGCCAAATCACCTCTTGCAAACATGGAACTGGAGGCTTTGACACAAAACAGGAAGGTCCTTTTTTTTACTAATTTTAAACAAACACCACAGAAGGAACTGATTATAGCATCTTTGTTGCCAATAACACACAAAACCTAAACCAGTTAAATCAATATTGTTTTCAACAGACACATGGGTTTCTCTTGTGGAAGTAATATTTTTATAACCTTCTTTCTAAACCTTGTTTAAGAATTTGAATTTAAAATATTAAAATATCGTGTATAATCCATAAATTAGATACATTAAGTTCACAGTTGATTTTGTCAGGTGCAGGATGGTTTTGATTTATTGATTCTAGTTTCATTATCATTCTGTGTTCCCTCGTCTCTTCCTTTGATCAGATCAGCTTTGTTTCTGTTCAGTCTTTCTTACTGATTCTAATTTACTATGTTTCTGTCTGTCTTGTGTCTCATTATTCTTTGTTAGTCTTAGATTCATTTTCTTCATTTCATTTTTTTTACTCTCTCTCTCCCCTCAGCTTACAACCCGTTAGCTAATCAGCCCTGGTCTTTAGTTCCAGCATTCACCGTCACAGTGTTTAAACACAGGTCCCTCTCTCAGTCCTCGCTGGTTCCTCCTGCTTCTTCCCCAGGTCATCCTGTTGTTGTTTTTTTTTTTTCCTCTGTTTTTGTTCTGCTCTGGCTCCTTGTGTTCTCTGTGATATTTGTAAGTTTTTGTTCATCGTTTTTATTAAACGTTTATCATCTACTTGATGCCTCTGTCTCTCTGCATTTGGGTTACCATTAAAAACCAACAAACCATGACTGATTTCAAGTCAGGTTTATTTACATGTTATATTTTCAGCAGCAAGCCAGTTCAAAGTGTTTTACACCAAGAAGACATATTGCTGTAATCAATAATGAAACAGTAAACATTACATTTTGTCAAATGCCATAATCAAAATCATCAATGAGAGATACATTTTTTAATTCTTGCTCTTGGTTTATAAGAACCGTAAAACTGGCTGATGGTTTCTATCTTCCTGGTTTTAGTCAGAACTCCAGCAGCAGTGTTCTGGGTCAGCTGCGATAAATTCCAGTCCTTTTTAACTAGTTGAAATCTTTGACAAACCAGTAAATGACCCAGCCTCTAGTGATGGACTAACAGGTTTTTGTAGAGCTGTGGAGAGTCAAAACAAGTTGTTAAAGAAATATGAGAGATCATTACTGCAGCAAACAGACTCTGCAGCCTTTATGCCCACATTGTTTCTTCATCATGGGATTGTACTTAGAGGAAGCAAAGTCTCATTAGCGCTAATTATTAACCAACATGAAGCATCTAAATGGTTTGTCACTTCCTCCTCTCAGAGAAACTAGTTCTGTTTCCAAAGCCCACCAGCTCCCTGGATCCCAGAGGAAAACATCATCAGTCAAAGCCAGAACACATCACATTACTGCCTCCTTGTGGTTCTTTGTCATCTCATATGGGTTTAGTAGCTCACGTGAATCTTCTATTTGATAAATGTAATCATCTTAAATAAGCAGCGATACATAGTAGAAAATTCTTGTTTACCCTTTAAAGATAAGATTGATGGTGCAGTCAGTCTTATCTGCTCCAAAGTTTAAACTGTTTAGTTTGAACTTTCCTATAAATAAACTGTAACCTTTTCTATAATGTGAAGATTTTCCAGAACTTTATAGAGAAGGTTCCAGATTATATTCCTTCTACAGAAGGGTAACAGTGGAATAAACCAACAAAATTAATAGGTTACTCGAAGCATTATAATAATTTATCATTTGAAAAAAATAGGAAATTTACATCAACCATTTATTTCAATATATTTTAAAGCTACAGTTCGATCACCATTTCTACTGTAGTGCTAAAACAACATCAAAGTTTTAACTGCTGGTTGCACTAAGTTTTATTTCAGGCTACTGCTTATAAGTTGAAATTTAAAGGGGTGGTATTATGTGTATTGCAGTCACACAGTTATCATTGTAAAACTGACTTTATGAGACCATTAACTGGTCGTCAGATCCTCAGTTAGCAACCGACAGAAACATTTGATTTGAGCAAACCAAGTTTAACCAACGCCAACAAGGGAAGGCTGAGCCAATCAGCAGCTTTCATACCGCAACGCACTGTCTGGCACAACGTTGTGAAAACATGACTTTGGAAGATGAAATGATGAGAGACAGATTCACTCTCGTAGTGGAAGACAAAAAAATGTTACAACAATTACAAATGGAACCCAAACGACGCAGACAGCGCTTACCGAAAACTCACCTGACAAAGTGAGATTGAAAAGAAGCAACCAGAGATGCTAAACACTGACCATGGGGACAGACATGGGGGTGCATGTCCTGGACATCTAACAACAACCACACAAACTAACCGCTGCACAAAAACCACTAGACAAAAAGAACATGAAGATGTGGAGGCATCAAAAGGGCATTGTCTGCAACAATGCTCAGCGGAGGAGGCTGCATGGCATTACTGGAATAAAACGGGACAGTTTGTCATAAATAAAAAGCTGCATAAAGTCACTCACTACTGCAACAGACTCCAACAACAAAGAGGCAGGAGAGGACAGTTCATGGGTGACAGACATAAATGTTGAATCTAACTCAGTTAAACACATCAGAACATCTACAGGCGGCAACGATTTGGCAGATTGGATTCATGTTTCTTGATCTTGTAATATAAGGTATTGTGGGTAAAATAACTTATTTTAGTATATTTTTTAAATAACTGGATAGCATTTTATTGCTTTTGATTCATTCAGATTTCAACACGTGTTTATGAAAATGTACTTCCCAGGTGCATGCACCCATTCTCTCTAATCCAGAATTTTCATGAGTTCCTGCTTTTCACTGATGCTTCAAATATGGTCATTGGTTTTACACTATAGCAGATGAATGATACAAATTTGGAAAATGTCATTGTCATTGCCATGTCCTTAAAAAAAGAGAAAAATGTTTTGAGAAAAATGACAGAGAGTCATGGTTATTGTCTGGTCTATAAAGTGGTTTTGTCAGTATTTTACTGGACACTGTTTTCAGATCATCACTGACCTCAGTGGCTGCAAAGCCTGTGGACATTACCGCATCTGTCCAGCAGGTGGCTCAAGGTCAAACTATTGACCTCTCGTTCCTGAACACAGTCACTGATTACCTTAGACAGGCCCAGAACAACGATCCATGTTAAAAACTGTTTTGGAATGGCTGCTCACAAGTAACAGGCCTCACTTTGCACAATAAAGAAGTGATTCTCTGAGCAGAGGAACGTTTGGAGGGAGTTTCCAAAACTCGTTGTTGGTGACTCTCGTCTCTGTCAGCAGGTGATCCTGTTATACAGACTTTCCCAAGTGATCTAAAAAAGGAACTGCATGGCCATTCTGTTGCTGGACATTCTGATGCAGTAAAGACAATGAACTGAAGACAAGACCTGACTATAATAGTCCTCAGGCCAGATGCTACTGGCCATACATGTCTCCAGATATAACTGAATGGTGTTTACAATATGGTGTGTGCACCTGATGGTTCTGATACCTGACTACCCACGATGGGCTCCATTTCCAGGGACTCCTCAGACTGTTTAACACCAGGCTCTGGTTTAACACCAGGCCCCGACAGAACATGAATTCCCTGAATGGATCTTAGAAACTTGTGTCCAATTTTTTTTTTTTTTTTAATTTTTACAGGATATAAGTTAGTGATTCTTGAGAATAGGGTTGCAACATTTTTTTAAAAATTACATTTTTAATCAACCTGACCCAGAACTTTGTCATCACCATCTGACAAAAATAAATATAAAATTATTTTTAAAATATCCTATTAGTGATATCCTTATTTGTATAGCACATTTCAGCAGCAAGGCATTTCAAAGTGCTTTACATAATTAAAATAAAAACAGCGTGTGAGAAAGAGATTTAAAAAACATAATTAAAACGTAAAGAGTGAGAAAGAGAAATAAAAAGCTGTAGAACTTTAGTTGAGATGCCATCAACTGGAACTCCAACCCTTTGGACTTTAGTCAAAACGCCGTTTGACTAAACAACAAACAACAAAAACACACTACATGTACAGGTAAGCTCTTCAACATCTTTATTTGGCAAAAATTAAATAGCATTTAAAGCATCTGGGATAAAAACAATGAGGTGGGAATATAGCAGGCAGTGCTTTTTGTTTTCCTCATTTACAGCAATTTGAATCCAGCAATAAACACATTCAAATGCATGACTGCCTCTGTGATCAAACATGGATGACACAAAAAGTGGAGGCATGATGAGAACCAGGAGAACAGAGGTCAGCATAAAATCCATTGATCATGTTAACATTGTGTATATTATATTCAATCAGGAAAAAACTAATGACTTTCCCTTTGTGGCCTCAGGGCCGTGTAGGCATTGGTTTTATCATCAAAAATAAAGGTATTTTGAATTTAAAGCAGATTTACTGTAGACAGGTTTAAATGTATTCTTTTTTTCCCCCTTAATATGGGAAAAAAAAACAAGAACAAAAAAAAAAACAGGTAGTAATTATTTATGGGCAACAATGTAAAAGAATGCAGAACTGTTTTCAAGTTTATCATCTTCAGAGTGGCAACAGCATGTGAGCCTCATCTGCAGACAGACCAATCAGAATGAAGGAGGGTAGGACGTCATTTATTGGCAAAGTTCAATAAGCACCAATGGAAACAAGGTCAGGGGAACAAAAATAGTTCGTTTTGCATAGAACATGTCATTCAACTGGTTCTAAACAAGGGAAAATAATACAACTACAGAAGTTCATCATCTACAGCTTTTCATCGTCATGACAACAGATCAGGTCAGAGCTGATCTGTTCAGGCACTGCTTCAGTTCATTATGGAGAATTTAAGGCAACAAAGAATCACCTGTGATTATGATTCAGTCCAGGACCCACACCCTGCATCTCTCTGTCCTCATCTTCCAGGGGACAGGAGGTCAGTTGTTCCCGCTGACCTCTAAGGGGACAGGAGGTCAGTTGTTCCCGCTGACCTCTAAGGGGACAGGAGGTCAGTTGTTCCCGCTGACCTCTAAGGGGACAGGCGGTCACTCGTTCCCGCTGTCCTCTGTGTTGACCTCTTCCTCGCCCCCCTGCCGGTTTGAGTAACTCTCCGGATAGTTCACGATGTGTCTGTTGGCCTGCATGATGTACTGCTGCTGTTTGAAATACACTTTCAGTACGCCTTTGATCAGCACGAACGCAATGCCCCCCTGTGGAGACAGATGGCAGGACATATAGAAAACACAAACCTTGAGAGAAAAATTGATATGAGGGCTGAAACACAACCAGGTGTAAGGGCCATACTGAGAAAAAATAAAATTACAAGTATAAGGTCATAATATCATGAGAATAAAGTTGGAGTAATGGCAACAAAGTCAATATTACAAGAACAAAGTTGTACAAGAATAAAGTAACCAATCTGACTGAGGTTGAATTAATTTGCAAAGATGGCAAATTGAAACATTTTTAATGTCTAGATGTTCTAAAAAATTTTTTATTCTTTTTTACTCTTTTCAAATTCCCATTTTTACTTCTAAATTTTTTCTGAATTCCATTTTAACCATACCGATTAACCCACAAAGTGGGTAATAATGGTGTAAATGACAAATATTTAACAAATCAATATCCAGAAGTCAACATTTACTTCTGCTCTGTTTCACAAATGAAGCAACCAGCTGTGGTTCAGTAGAACATTGCTGACTGGCTGCAGCTAACTACCTTCATCTCTGTTTAGTAGTCTTATCTTCGTCCCTCCTGTCAACCATGTGCTGACAAAACATACTGAATTTTTCTCCTGTTTCATAAAACTTGCTAACCCTGAACCTTGTGCTAGACTTTGAATTATTTTTAACAGTGTTTTAGAGAGGTTTCTTTTCCATGGCTGGCTGGTTTATTCTCTCTGTGTGGAGAGCAGAGCTGCTCCTCACCGGGTAACAGCGAGTACAGGAGAATAAACCAAAACGACAGAAATTACTGCATGTCCTTCCCTTCTTGCAAATATCAGCTAATTCTGTAAAATTCTGCATTTTATTGTGGATTTCATTTTGTTTATTAAATTCCGCAATTCCATCCTTGCACCAACATCCCATGCTGCATTAAGATGAAACGCAATGCACTGGGAATTCCCCAGCTTCCAGGCAGACTCACCAGTATGGTGCGCTGCAGGTTGGAGGTAACCCGTCTGAACAGCAGCTGTCCCACTAGACTGGCTATGGAGGGAAAGATGAGCGCCCCACACAGAGTCCTGGACACAGACAGGTGGTCTCCAGCGCCAGGCCCCTCGGCACGCAGGGGCGGCAGATAACCACCACCCCCTGACGAGAAGCGCACACGCACACTATGTTAACTGAGAATGTGCTGTTAAAGAGCTAACCAGTAGAACTGAGGCTCCCACTGAGTGAAATGCCATTTAGGAAGCTGCTATTGAATCAAAGAATGATTTTAAAAGGGGAAGTATTATGTAAAATATGTTTTTTTAGCTTTACATCATGTTAGAATTTTATTCCTTGTTCACAAATACACCAAGAGTGTTGCATTAATTCTTTCACACATGTTTGACAAATCTTTGAATCTCAAAGCTGCAGCTTCCAAGCTTCTGCCTCACAGAGCAGAAAGCAGTCCTCACCCACTCAGCTCCTTCAGACTAGCCAGCAGCAAGTAGCAAACACCTGGTGGAACTGTGGATCTGCTAGTTCATTATAGAAGCTACCTCTCAGAGCACTGCTGTTAAAAATGATGTTAAAGGGTTAATAGAGGAGCCATGTTGTGAGTTTCAGAAAGAGCAGAGCCCGATTTCAAGGCATTACATTGCAAATTATAATTTATTTTATGTCATTTTCTGGCATTTTCTAACAACTGAAGGTAGCAATTACTTGATTATGCTATAAAATGACACTATATGCCTGGAAAATACATAATACTGCCCTTTAAGTAGGACCTACAAAACAAAGCCAGGATCAGTATGTCACAGGGGGCTGAGTGAGGAAGATGTGTTACACACCTGATGAAGGGCCGTGTTTATAGGAGTATCTCAGCCACAGCCTCACTAAGTAATCCTCCCAGCGGATCATCTTCCCCAGGACCAGCAGAACGGGGATGGTCGGCAGGCCCATGAGCAGAAACAGAGGGTCAGCCCGCTCCATCACAAACAGACCCTTCTTATGCCCCACCACCTGCAGGGGGAGCCAGAAAGGTAAGGCTACTGCAGAAGGTGACGGCTCAGTGGTTCCTCCATGCACCTGACAGCACCTGCATGACGGTCACGGCTCCGTAGGTGACTGCTGACCAGTACACCGTCCCAACAACCACTCCGACTGCAGCGAAGGGGCTGGCACGGGACAGGGCTCTGTCCGCCTGCTGCAGGAAGTACACCAGCGGGCCTGGGGGACCAGAACAGAACCGGATCAGTCACGTCAGCACGACACAAAGGATAAATTGTTGTCTTCTCTTACTTTCATGTCGGTGTCTAAAAACTGAGAAATGTGCATCATAGCTGAGTGATTTGAACAACAGTCATTTACATGTAGGGTTATGGCCAACGTCAGAATTATTCTGAATAATCGTCAGAATAATTCTGACGATTATTCTGAGAAAAAAAATTAGCACATTCTGCAGATTTTTCATTTAACCCAGAGGTGTAGAATGTGTGGCGGGGGGCCAACTGCTGTCTTTGGACAGATTTATTTTTACCATTTTGGCTTAATTACGTCTCTAAATGTGTTGTTAACTGGAGTCTGTACTCCAGTTAGCAATTATTCAATTACTAAATTAGTTGACGATTATTTCAATAATCAATTCATCAAGATTAAGCTAATCTTTTCAACACTAGTTTTACATAATAATGAGTCAAACAGAATGAATAATTTTTTAAAATAAAGTGTGAGAGATACAAATTCTAGAACTTTCTTCAGCTCTTGTAGTTGCATTTCTCTGCCTGTAGGGGGCTAGAGGAAACAGCTGGGCTGCTTAGAGTAAAGCTCTGCTAGGCCTGCATATAGTTTCTGACTCTCTTTAGATAAAAGCCACAAGAGAGAATCCTGGTACGTGGTACGGTCCAGTCAAAGGTTGCTCCAGTCCTCACCCATCTTGGGGAAAATGATGCAGTACTCGGTGCCACACTGCGGACAGTTAACGGCGGCGCCGCCGTTTCCTTTCTGTTTCTCGTCCAGCCAACGCTGCAGACACGACTGGTGGATCCATTTGGTGCAGCCTTTACACCTGCAGGGGCTCACCCACTCTGCACCACGGTCGTCCCGCTCAGTGGCGAAACACACCCAGCAATGTCTACAAACACACACACACACACACACACACACACACACACACACAACAAAGTTTCATATAGAGGTCAGCTGTGTTCAAAGGATTGTAGGGAGAACATTTGTAAATTTATAAGCATGATAAACACATTAAGCTGAGTGCAACCTGAACATGAGCTGACCAACTGAAGATGAAAGAAAAAAACTAATTCTCCATGTGGGCATTTTAACACACAAAGTCAGATCAATACCCATTAAATACTTTGGAAATATCCCACAAAGATTCTTAAAACTACTGAGAAAGTATAAAAAAATATTTTACATATCTGACAACATTTTAACTACCCACTGACAACATTTATATTTCAGAGTATGTGTACGTATTAGTACAATAATTTAGTCATGGATAATCCGTTTACAGCTAATAAAGAGGCAGTATTATTATTATGCATTTTCCAGGCCCATAGTGCCAATTATACAACAATCAGGCAAATATGTTACCTTCAGTTGTAATAAAAATGCCGTTTATGTTAAACGTTACTTAAAAGAAATTTCACTTTGCAATTTAACACTTTGAGATTGGGCCTCTGTCTCTTTAAGAAGCTCCTGCGCTTTCACACAATCCGCCTTCAGCAATGTTATGTTTCTCCTTTACAAGCGTTCATAGGACCATGGGAAAAATAAAAAATAAAAAAAATCACAGAATCACTCCAAATATGGATTTTAATGAGGAAATAACATTATATAAAGCTCACATAATACTCCCTTTTAAAGTGTCAAGAGTCTTTCAACTGCTTTACGTAACTAAAAAATACATCAACAATGTTCAAATATTCACTTAGAAAATATTATAAATAATCAAAAATATGCTAAGAGAGAATGGCTGATCAGTTTGGAGGAAATTGATTAAAAGGCAGGGATGTGCACAAGATAAAGAAGTGGTATATGCATTTTCAAGATACAAGTAAAACAACTTTCTCAAAGTGGGATGATAAAATTTAACATCAGAAATGATTTAGATAAACTAGAAGTCTGTAGATATATAATGTATTGTGAGGGTTTGCTCAGATTTTACAAAATATTCAAATGAAGAATGAAAAGGAACATTACTTCTCAGACTGCTCCTCTGTCAGGGCCATGACGTTACTGAACAGGTTCTGATGGACCCATCTGACTCCAGCAAGAACCTGGGAAACAAAAGTGGAACAACTTCCACTAGCTGTTCAACTTAAAGCTGTTCCACTAGCTTTAAGTTGATCTTAAAGCTAGTGGAACAGAGCAGGTCAGATTTTTAGATTTAAATTTACTGCATAAAATGTATCTTTTCTTCATGAAGGAAAGAAAAGATTAAAATCAACATTAGTGACAGACAATAGCTGAATTATCTCAGTCGCTGGGAATGGTAATTCTGGTTCTTCCACACACAGTAATCTGAACGTCAAAATCTGAAATATTGCTCCAAAAATAACTTGTAATTTATTTTTATAGTCTCCTTTCGTTTGTATTGTTTTTTTTTATTCTGTTTGTTGAAGCAGATTGTAATTTTCATCTCGAAACGTGCTAAATAAATAAAGTTTTACATCCGTACTTTGGAGCATTGGCATTTGTTGTGCTTTCTACAGCATAAAAAGTTCTCAGATCTTGCTATGATTTAACCAGTCTGTCACCAACATAGGATCATTTCTCGAAGGTTTAACCATTTCAAGTCTTTTAAATTTTGATTTCGAGTTAATCAAAGGTACTCCAGAATTCCTAGAAACAGTGAACAGCCCTTTTTAATCAAGTGACAGATCGGAAGCTAACTTCAGCGCTGTCATGCTACAGCTAATAATGTTAGCAACGTAGGCTACTACAACTTTACCCAATTATAATTAACAAACCGCGAACGTCACAAGGAGAGAATACAGTAAACAAATATCTCTAAAAATGACCCATCGAACCATTTTTGCGACAATGTTAAACCGCTGCCTACCTAACATACAGAAAACCTTTCCACTGTTACAACCGACGTGATATGTTTTGCTGCTTCTCTGGTTTCACCTTTAGCTGCTGCCTGATTGGTCATGGGTATGTGACGTCTGTTGATGCGTTCACGTTAGTTATAAAACGTAGAAAAAATTGGCGTAAAGAGTAGCGTCATAATCTATTTGCAGAGGCGAATTTAGTGTGGACCTAGTGAAGGAGTCAAGACGTGTTTTGACTCCTTAGCTATTTTACAGCCAAATTTTACCTAAAACCTAGTTGCCTGCAATTGATCCTGAAAATTTCGAAAACATCTTTGATTTGTCTCAAGAGTAAGTTAACTTAATTCAAAGGAGTTCAAGTTTTCTCGTTGTTTTGGTCTAAGTACAGATAATATTTTGTGATGATGAGTTATAACCACCTATTTCCAAAAAATATTTTATTTTTAATTTCCCGTTTTTGAGGGAATGAAGATATTTCGAATATCTTAATTGAGAACGAAGAGGAAAGAAAGTCAAATTTGAAGGCAAAAAGTTGGTAAATAAAGCTAATTCTGATTTACTATGGAAAAAAAACTTTCACTAAAAAGCTGGGTTTCAGATGGCTTTATTCCTATCAACTTCACTTCACACAACTTTGCTTCTTGCATTTAAAAACTTATGTCCTTCAGTGTCTGCAACAAAATGCTGCAGACCTTTGGTAAGTCTGATGTGGAGTGTAATATTTTCATCAGCATAATTAGAGCCAATAACTTAATCAGGCTGAACAACCTGATAAAGAAGGCTGGTTCTTGATTTTATTTTTCATAAAATCAAGAACATTATAGACAATCCAGGGGATCATCTTACTGACACACAATCACAGAATATTTTCAGTCAGAGGCTTATTCAGGACCGCTGTTACTCAGACCCATTAGCATCTCCAACAATTCAAGAAGATTCAATAATATGAGTTACAACAACATTTGATTTCCTTTTGGGAATAAAATAAAAATCTGGATTCAATTGGAACATATAAGATGTAAAAAAGTCCCTGTTCACTAACTTTCCTCATTCACGTTCCTATCCACAAGTACATTTTCACCTAGAATGAACACAATCGATACCTAAAAAGACTCTTCGACTATACAGTTATTTTATTATGCTTTTTAAACATACGCATACATATTACCATGCATTTTACAAAAAAAACTAGTTAAACAACAAAAAAACATACAGGGCAGGGGGTCTTATTCCATCATTCCACTGGCTCAAAAAAAGCCACTGCTCCGCTGATGGACAGCCGTCGAATTAAGCATTGTTATTGGCTACATTTGCTGTCAGTCAAAGGCTTTCGCCAACCTGATTGGCTGTCTTCACGGTCAGTCACGCTGACGCCGTGGTGTTGCATTTGTTGTTGTGGGGAAGCAGCAGGCAGAAACAGCGGCGGCGGTGGTGGACTGCACAGTGACAGGGCGTTATTTTTTACATGCTTACAACACTAAACGAAGACGGTGACACTCGCGGATCGCTAGGAACGTGTCTGAAAAACCCTGTCCGTCATGGAGTCCTATGACATTTTAGCTAACCAGCCGGTGGTTATTGATAATGTAAGTATGATGATGTCATTCATCCACACCCAAACCAAGGCCGCTTGGTAATGGCCGTTAGCCTACATTACCTTTGTGTTACAGCTGCGAATATACAGGGGAAAATCCACGGGCGGACGTTTTTCCTGAGCACCAGTTCCATTCACAACTTCCCAATGTTCCTATGGGAATGCTACCAGTAGAAGCTTCAGTTAAGAATAACTGGAGATTCATGTAGCAGCGACGGGAGCTAAAGCTGCTAACCGGTTAGCTGTAGCGGTGTGTACTATTATCGCGTTAGACTCATTGTAAAAGGCTTCATTCAGCTCTGCAAGACACAGGAACATATGAATAACTTAATGAGGAACTCAGTGATCCAGAGGTTTCAACGGTAGCTAAAAGCTAACACTGTTTTAGGAAACACCCTGTGTGCACATATTAGACCAACAATAGTCAGATTTTACTGGGTGGGAATGAAAATGAGACATTTCATCAAACCCTTAGGCGTTTTCTTTTAACAGTATTGGAATATTAAAGATTTCATAGAAAATATTCTTCAAAACAATAAAAGTTTATTATCCAGACTTTTTACTCATACATCTGTGAAGACTGGAACGTTTCTAATAGTGTGTCAGGACTCTGCTGCAGTGCATGGTCCTGCCGTTTCCCGACCAGGAACAGGGAACAGGGGCATCCTGAGGACACGCTGCGTTTAGGATAATTAGGACCTGATTCCATACTGTCATCCAGTCAGAAGCAGATGTGTTTGATTCAGCATCAGACAGTATTTCTGAATGCTAGAGTTACCTGTACAGAGCTGGACCCAGACAACAATGCTCACACACTGAGACTGTTGAGATGATTTACTTCATAAGCCCAGTTCAACCTCCTTGATCAGTAGTAGCATATAATTGCCAAAATTATTTTCTTTTCAAAGCAGTTGTTAATTTATCAGTCATTTTATTGATGTATAGCCTGTACTTTTATTTGTATTTTTTTGGTAACCAGCTGCCTTTTTTGGAGAACTTATTTAATAGTCACTGTCTTTTGTTTTACACTTTGCTGCAGAATCGTTTTACTCCTAACAGACTGCATGTTTTACATTTTAGTTTAGAGACATAAGAAGATGATCATTTATACTTGGTTTATCTCAAATCACAAACGAGTCCAACTGAAGCAGTCGGTAAAGGACAAAGTGTTTCCTGTAAAGCTCAGTGTTTCTTCAGGCTGAGTGTGTGACTGTTGGTGGCTGAGTCTCATGATCTCTCTCTTTCTGAAGCGTAGAGGAGTGCAGAACTGTGGTGAAATATCCCTTTTCTTTTCTTTAGGGGTCGGGGGTCATCAAGGCTGGTTTTGCTGGTGACCAGATCCCCAAATACTGCTTCCCTAACTAGTAAGTGTCCTCCTGTGGATCTCCTCACAGATTTAGTTTCCAGAGTTGAGCTTCAACATGGTGTTGTATGTTCAGCTGGCAGATTTGGGCATGTGGCTGTAGAATCACACCACCAACTTATTTTGTAATTTAGTGTGCTCTCAGGCCTTTTTGTATCTGGTTGGCATGCACAGTATTTTTAATAGCGTTGCTGTGTGTGTTCAGTGTGGGACGTCCCAAGCATGTGCGCGTGATGGCTGGAGCCTTGGAGGGAGATCTGTTCATCGGACCCAAGGCAGAGGTACGGCACACGGGGCAGGAACGACGGGAACCAGCAGAGAAAAAGAAATCTGGAGTGTGGAGAGATTCAGTATTTCCAGACTGTGTTCCATATCCACTGTCTAAACATCGTCTATCCATCTGTCTGCTCTTCCTGTCTTTTCATCTTTTCCTTTCTTTCTTGCTGACTTTCTGCCTTTCTTTCTTTTCTTCTATCTTTATCTTTTTCCCCCTTCTTTTACTATTCTGTTGTCTAAACATTGTGTCCATCCATCTGCTTTTTCTTTTTCATCCCTCTCTTTTTTCCTTCTCTTTCCTTCATTTGTTCTTTTATTCTTCATTTCTTTCCTTCTTTCTGCCTTTCTTTCTTTCTCATGTTGTTTTTCTTCCTTTTTTTGGAGAGCTCTTTTGGTAACACTTTATTTGAAGGGGTGTGGCTAAGACTGACACACCACCTGTCATGAACATGAATATTTATGACTGTTATCATAAAGTGTCATTTGGCAAATAGTGTCATGTTTAATGTAAAGTTGTATTTAAAGTTGCATTAAAAGTCCATTAAAGTGGCCAACTTTACAGTATTCGGTAAGTAATAACACGTTTAATGTAAAGTTGTACTAAAACTTCCATTAAAAGTGCGTTAAAGGAGTCAGCTTTGCAAAAATGAAGACTGTTTGGTTCATCCCGTCACCTGTGTGTGTGTGTGTGTGTGTGTGTGTGTGTGTGTGTGTGTGTGTGTGTGTCCCTCTTGATGCGTCAGGAGCACAGGGGTCTGCTGTCGGTGCGCTACCCGATGGAGCATGGGATAGTGAACGACTGGAACGACATGGAGAGGATCTGGCAGTACGTTTACTCCAAGGAGCAGCTGCAGACCTTCTCAGAGGAGGTGAGCTTCACTCTGGGGTGTGTGTGTTTTCACACAGCGTGCTTCCTGAGCAGCAGCTGATCCTGTTGTGTTTGGATTGTTTGCCAGCATCCTGTGCTGCTGACTGAGGCTCCTCTAAACCCCAGTAAGAACAGAGAGAAGGCCGCAGAGATCTTCTTTGAGACCTTCAACGTTCCTGCTCTCTTCATCTCCATGCAGGCCGTGTTGAGCTTGTAAGAACTGCTGCGTCTCCAGTGGAGTATTGTGGCCAGAATAAGAGATTATTTATTTATTTACTTATTTATTTTAAATGATCAGAATAAAGTTATAAAAATTAATAGAATAAAACACGATATTACCAGAGGAAAGTTGTAAAATTACTGGAAAAAAGTGGATTTACTGGCAGCAGGTGTTTGATGGTTATCCAGATCTGACGTGACTGGCTCATCTGGTTCGTGGTTCTTCCTTCTAAATGGACTCAGTCGTTTCCAGTCACTTCCGAGTCCTGAAGTTTAAGTTCACAAGATGCTCAACATTTCTCATTTTAGTTTTTTTTTCTCTCTCGTGTGGCAGGGATCATAAAATTACTACTTCATTCTATCAATATTACAACTTTTTTCTAGTAATATTACTTTATTCTTGTATCATAGTAATTTTTGTGCCATATTATGACTTTTGTTTTTGTATCATTTCAATTTATTTTTTCTCATATTTTTATTAACATAATGGTATGACTTTTTTTCTGATATTATTATGACTATCATTATAACTTTATTCTTATTATATGACTACTTTATTCTCATATTACAGCATTTTATTGTACGACTTGTATTATTTCATTTTTGTATGACTTTTTTTTCTTGCAATTTTTTTTTCTTAGCCTGGCTGTAATAATCCCTCCTGATAAATTTGTGTTTTGACTTTTAAAGTTCTCATCCATACAGTTGATGTACAGTGGATGGTGATTTATCAGTTTAGCCATATACAGTCAGCTGGGGCACTGATACTAATACTTGTCTGTTTGCAACCAGAATGTCATATCCAATCTTTTTTATCTTTATTTTTGAAGGAAGTAGAAGCTTGACAGAATAAATTTACTTTAGCATAAAAGTTACTGAACTTTTATGCTAAATCTTTACATCTTAACTGTTAATAGGTTTAGATCCTCAGACTGTGAGGTCCAAGGTTCCCTGTCCTTTAATTTAATGTAACATTTACCTGCCATACTCAGCCCTGCATGTAGAGGGCAGTGTAACCAGCTGCTGTCTGTCCTGACAGATTCACATTGTATCCGTGTTTAATGCCGTAGATATGCCACCGGCCGCACCACTGGGGTGGTGTTGGACTCTGGTGACGGTGTGACCCATGTGGTGCCCATCTACGAGGGCTTCGCCATCCCACACTCAATCATGCGTGTGGACATCGCTGGCAGAGACGTCTCCCGATACCTCCGTCTGCTGCTGCGCAAGGAAGGCTACAACTTCAACACATCAGCTGAGTTCGAGGTGGTGCGCACCATAAAAGAGGTGGGGGACGGCTGCCGAGACGCTCCGTTACACAAACACTTCTCCTCTAGGCTGAAAAAGCATCTAATCTGGTGTTTCTCCTGCTGCTCAGAGAGCCTGCTACCTGTCCCTGAACCCGCAGAAGGATGAGACTTTAGAAACGGAGAAGGCTCAGTATGTCCTTCCTGATGGAAGCACTTTAAATGTAAGTCCAGCAGACTCTGTGATGGTTCTGAGGGATGTTGAAGGAGCGGTTCTGAAATCAGCCGTCCCGTCCTCAGATCGGACCGGCCAGATTCCGGGCCCCAGAGCTGCTGTTCAGACCCGACCTGATCGGAGACGAGAGCTCGGGAATCCATGAGGTCCTGGCCTACGCCATCCAGAAGTCTGACATGGACCTGCGGCGCACGCTCTTTTCCACCATCGTACTATGCGGCGGGTCAACACTGATCAAAGGTTAGTAAAGCTCTCATTATCACTGAGAAAACAAACATGGAAGCACATGTACATTAATGCTGCACAATATATCATACTTATATGATAAAATCCACAGATCTACTGGCTTTTGAACAAAGACATTGTGAGACTGAGTTTCTACCAAACTTCTGGACTGTTGTCTGATTCACTGGCTCTGTGGCTCTTCTCAGGGTTTGGAGAGAGGCTACTAACTGAGGTCAAAAAACTCGCACCAAAAGACGTGAAGATCAAGGTAGGTCCACCTCCTGCTGTCCTGAATGAGCTCATCCTTCATTCTCTTTGCTGAAACACCAAGCTGCCCCTAAATGGGTCATGCATTGAGTAAAGCAGCAGCTCTGTCTTGAAAAGACTCCTCCAGACCAGATGGGGGCAGAGGACCCACAAATTGTACTCATGTAAGAGTAGCAGTACTTCAACATATTTTTACTCAAGTAAAAGTAGAAAGTAGCCGTCCAAGAAACGAGTCAAGGAAGAGTAAAAAAGCATTTAGTAAAAACTCAGCTCAAAAATACTGAGTAACTGATCAAATTATTTAATATTTTAAAATGACATCATCAGATGGTCCAAAATATAAGTGGAAATGTTGGTATTTTAAGAAAATGACAATAATTCATACAAGTAACCAAATGTAACAAAAGTAAACCTTGAACAGAAACTGCAGGTCTGTGTTTGTGTCTGCTGAATTTTATTTTAACATGTTTGTTCTTCATTTAGTGGGTGGAGACTCCAGAAATTTTTCTTTAGTAATAGTAGTGATAATAATAAAATTACTCAAGTAAAAGTAAAAAGTACAATGTAGTAAAAATACTCCTAAAAGTGGACTTCTTCTTTTTTCTTTCAAAAACAGTTACTCAAGTAAATGTAATTGAGTAAATGTAACTAGTTACTGTCCAACTCTGCTTCAGACTGTTGTTATTGATGTATGTTACATCATGGAGTAACTGAATGACTCCCAGCTCTATACAGGCTGTTTCCTCCCTGGGAGAGAATGAGATCGTTCAGTGTAGATGTAGAGAGCATCTGACTCAGAGAGGGAACAAAAACCCCAAAATGACCAGTATGTCCTTCTGAATCAAAGCAGGATTTGTGAGAGCCAACAGGAAGTTGGTTGTTCCTCATTATCCATACCAGGCCACTTAACTAACCGGGTCCAGTGGAAATGTGAATTTTATTTCTGTTTTTTTTTGTTGTTGTTTTTTACCTTCTGATTGTTTTTTCTTCTTCTGCCTTGTAGATCTCCGCTCCCCAGGAACGGCTGTACTCCACATGGATCGGGTAAGACCTCTGACGTTATTGCATCCCTAACCCTTCCCAGATTAATGGGCAGAAATGAATCTGCCCATTAATCTCGGGCCATATGAAATCCATTTTATTATTGTCCAAATTCCGTTTTTTTTCTTTTCTTTTTTTTTTTACACTTTTTCCTTTTCAATTTTTGTTAATTTCTTTTTTATTTATTTATTTATTTTTTCATTTTAACCATGTCTATTAACCTAAAAAGTGGGTAGTAATGATGAAGTCAACATTTACTTCTGCTCTGTTTCACAAATGAAGCAACCAGCTGTGGTTCAGTAGAACATTGCTGACTGGCTGCAGCTAACTACCTTCATCTCTGTTTAGTAGTCTTATCTTCGTCCCTCCTGTCAACCATGTGCTGACAAAACATACTGAATTTTTCTCCTGTTTCATAAAACTCACTGACCCTGAACCTTGTGCTAGGCTTTGACTTATTTATTTTTTTGGGATGTCATCGGTGTTTCAGAGTTTTTTTCCATGGCTGGCTGGTTTATTCTGTCTGTGTGGAGAGCAGAGCTGCTCCTCACCGGGTAACAGAGAGTACAGGAGAATAAACCAAGACACTACAGAAACTGCTGAATGTCCTTCCCTTCTGACAGATATCAGCTAATTGTGTAAAATTCACTCTAAAGCTGGAAAATCACACTAAAGCTCAATCTCCTGCTTTTCTTAAAGTGCTTGCACCGATTCCCTCTGTGGGACAATAATGGCTATTTCTATTCTATTCCTCTAAATGCTATTTAGATGGCTGCTACTTTCTTGAATCACAAGCTGATAGGATGGACTTTTTTCACACTGTTTTACCATTTAGCTTCATTTTGTATCAGAAATAATGACTGTTTGGAATAATTAGTGTGTATTTTAAGTCAGACCCTGGTAAAGATGGTGGATGGTTTTGTTGCTGACTCTGCCCCCCCCCCCCCCTCTCTCTCCTCTGGCAGCGGCTCCATCTTGGCATCATTGGACACCTTTAAGAAGATGTGGGTGTCCAAGCGGGAATATGAAGAAGACAGAGCGCGTGCCATCCACAGGAAGACCTTCTAGATTTGGATCGGCACCACGCGTACGCCAGCCCCTCCCCATCAGAACTGCCCTCAGAACCCCTCCCTGCCCACATTCCCTCCCCTCAATCACCCTGCAGCTGAACATCCCCTGACATCCTGCAGCAATTTGTCCATCATCCTTTCTGAACCCCGCCCCAGATCTGAACCACTGTGGGCCCCCAGAATCAAGGCTTTTGTGTATGCTGGGGGCCCCATGTTGACCCCAGGGTTGCTCCTGCTGTTGGGTGGCGGTGGCAGCACCCTCCACACTTACCAAACAGTCACACCTGGAGGGCTGTCAGGGACCCTCAAAGGACACCTCAAAGGGCGGAGGGGTCAACCCTGTGGACTCCTGTTGCAGAGTTTTCATTGAAGTATTGGGGTGCTCTCTTGCCTCCGCAGCCCTGTGAGGTGTAAGATATCATCAAATCTAAATCAACTTAAATATTATTTACTGTTGAAGTTTCCATTCCAGACCGAAGATTAATTTTTTTTTTATTTGTCTGTTTGTTTAGACTTTTTCTCTCTGACAGTTAGCTTTTACACAGCAAACATCTGAAATACTGCAGCAGCGCTTTATCATTTTATATATATATATACAGTTGTAGTCAGTTAAAGATCACCACTGTATTATAGATCAGAACTGCAGTCCAAATGACTTGTTTCTGTCATTATGACATGTTTCTGTTTATGGAAAGGTTCTTATCCGAGCTGACGGATTAAAAACTTGTGGGAAATGCCTTGATTTATTTATTGCTTGTTGTTTTTTATAACCCAATTGAAAAGGTGTTTTCAGCCTGAGTGTCACATTCAGGGCTGTTCTGTTTTCTGCTAACTTGGGGAAGCTGATTTTTGTGGCTAGATAAGCACAAAGTTTATTCCGACATCATCATATTCAGTCAGATAATTATTTGGGAAAGATCTTAAGCTGGATATCAGTGCTTTTGTGAACTTGTGCATGCACCTATACTTCTAAAATCAACCCCAGGACTTAGTCAAGATGGAGATATTAGCTGGAAGCATTGATGTTTCATGTAAATGTTGGATTTAACCTTCCATCCATCTCATGTGACAATAAGAAAATGTTTGGATTTTGAATTTGTTAATCAAGCTGCAGAAACCCCAACGATTGGCTGATATTCCCTCTCCTCCACCCCTCAGTATATCCCAGTAAAACCACTGCTCCCACCATTTCCCTGAACCTACATGGCAGTGAAGGGGTCGTCCACCATCATGTCCGCCTTACTTCGGTGTGTTTGTGCCGGAGCGTCCACGTCGTCTGCTTTTGGGTGTTTTTAAAAACAAGTCAAAAGGTGGGAATTTAAAGAGGTTGTAATGTCATCAGCCTTGTGTACAGTGGAGTACTTTTTCAAAAACCACCAACCATCTGGTTACAGACTAAACATGTACAATACTGTTTACTTTTACTTTTCGTAAATTCAGTATAATAAATAAGTTAATGGCTGCTGCTTGGATGTCTCGCCATTTTTTTCTCTCTCTTTTCAGATCCTGTAGTTTCCGTCATAGTTTTTCCACACTTGATTGAACATCATTCCCTTATAGATATGACGTAAAACTATTCCTCATAAAAGTACTTCATAATTACGACTGAAAGCTGCCTAGACTGAGATGTTGCCAATGGGAACAGGTGTCAGGCAGAGACGTGCTGCTTCACCAGAGCGTCTGCACACCCTTAAAAAAGTCTTAAATTCATGTATCTAAAATTAAGGCCTTCAGATGTCTTATAAAGTAAGTTGGTCTTCAATTTGCTAACCACAGGACTTAAATTTTGTCGTGGAGGAAGTATTTGATCTTAGTATTTTTATTTTTTTGTTCACGGACGGACATCGCTGCACGTGACGACTCGACTTTGCTGTTACCCACCGAATGCTATTGCTGCCACGGAGGAAAATACATTTTTAATATCATGTTACAGAGTTACACTGTACAAATGTTATATTGTACAAACATTATTTTGTTTAAACATAATTTCATCCAGAAGGTGGCAGTAGTATGCTTTTAGTACCTGCATGAAGAAGGCTAGTACGGTGTCTGTGTGGAACGAAGTCAAAAGAGGTGGCTGAAGCGACGTGTTTCCTGGACCTCATTTCATGTGGCACGTTGAGACTTCCTGTCTGTGTTTAGGAGGGTTTTTTTTTTTTTTTTTGCGACCAGAGATTTTTTTTTCAGGTGCACTATTGAGAAATCTGGTCATATTTGTAACTAAATAGGTCGCACTCTAGAGGCCTGTGTGCAGACATCTCAAAAGGCAAGATGTCATTCAATATTAAAATAACACAGAACAGATTACCCTTTTCATATAAATGGAGACAACATTTAATTGTACGAATTTTCCCATAGGTGGCCAACCTACCAAATCTACTCACACAAGAACTCCCCATCTGACCTAATTTGAAGCTGATCTTAAAGGGAGTGTAAGTCTGAAGGCCAGTAGGTGGCAGTCTAACATCATCACTGATGAGCTGAATTGCAGTCAGTTTGTTGCCTTCACAGCAGCAGCAATAATCACCATTATAAACATAACTCCTGCTGCATCTATTCCACATCCTCCCTGAGGTTTTGGCTGCAGTTATTTCCATCTCACCCTGGAAGATGTTTTGACAGCTGCTCCCTCTGCTGCACACCTCCTGTATATTAGTAACACAATCCATTTCTTGGCGTTGGTTTTTGTACCTCAGTTCAGGATTAAAAAATGTTACTGTTCTAATGAGATTACTTTGCAAGTAGATGTCTTAACTCTGTTATTTTCACAAACTCCAGTCCATGACTGTTGGATCCTGCAGCTCCTAGTCAGGACAGAAGTTCTACGCAGTATTCCAAAACCTTAGTTATAGTGTTTCATGTACGTACTCTTTCCCAGCCACCATCGTCTATGTGGTATTATGGTATTATTCCAGTGTTTCCCAACTCTGATCCTCAAGGCTCACTGCCCCATTTTAGGTATATCCTTGCTTCAGTCCAACTGATCTCAACTGATGCCTGATGAACAGGCGTTTGCAGAATTACAATCATTTGAATCAGAAGTATTGAAGCAGGGAAACATCTAAAACATGCAGGACAGTGTGTTTGAGGACAGGGATTGGGAGAAACAAGGTATTAACCGCTTTCTCTGGATAACTTGACTGCATACTGAGGAGGCATTCAGCAATCTGATTCAGGTGTGTTGGACCAGGGACACATCTAAACATTGCAGTAAACCAGACCTCGAGGACTGGAAGTGAAGATCCCTGAGCTGTCCAACCAAACCTCCAGAACTTCAGAACTTGTGAGACACCAGACACCATTCTGTCCATCCATCCATTGCCTATACCCCGTTATTTGTACAGGGTTGCAGGGTTAGATCCCTGTATCCAGTGGTCATTGGGAGAGAGGTGGGTTACACTCTGGACAGGTCATCAGTCCACCACAGACACACAGGATAAACAATCATGCACCCACACATATACATGTTTGTGTCTCTATTGTTGCGGGTACTTTCCATTGACTTCCATTCATTTCTACAGCCTAACCCTAACCAAAACTCAATTCACTCCTAAACCTAAAACCTAAATGAAAAACATAGTTTTTCCTTGTCGGTGCATTCCAGCCTCACTTCCTTCAGACTGGCCCAGGACAGCTACTATCCAGTAGCTTCTCAACATCAGTGTGTGAGTGTGTGTGTGAATGAGGGGATGACTGACTGTTGGGTGAAGGGCTTTGGGTCCTCTGGACTTTATCAAGTGCTATACAAGTACAATCCATTTCCCACATTTACCACATTCTACAGCTCTAGAATGGCCTGATTCTAGAGCTGTAGAATCAGGCCATTACTGAATGTGGTATGCAAAAAGCAACACGTCACAACTCCATCAAAAAAAGTATTTATGATTGAAAATCCTTCAGTTTCACTGTAATGGAAAATGTAATTTCTTGCTAAAGTCTTGACTGTGAAACTTCAGTTTCTAAACTTTGTAAACTTTTGATTATGTTACGTCTTCACCTTATTATGCTGCTGACCTTTGTGTGGGTCAGGTCTATCTGCATACCACTCTGGAGGTCATCTCTCAGTGCTGGTGTAAAAGTCAGTTCTCACAGCAGTCTATTGAGAAGCTGGTTCTCACAGACTTTCATGTAAATATCTTTGGACTTCTTTTGTCCTTGTGTATAAAATACAATGTACTGACTGGGTCAGAGTTCTCTAATGCAGTCTTTTCCCTCATCTTGTACAATATCCATTAATTCAGCCTGACTGAGTGCTTTCACCTTAACAGTGCTTCGATAACTTCATCTTTCCACCACAGTTGCTGGAGTAAATCAATTTTGCAATGTGGTAAATTAAAATTCCTCCACAACACACCTGATGGCAGCTGCTGCTGCCAACGGCAGAACGAGCAGGTATTGGTTAGAGTGAATACTATTTGACCCAGAGCCAGGTTGGTGTGACAGACTGGTCTTGTTAAGGAAGATAAGATCCTTCAAAGTTTGCAGCAAACCGCTGCAGATCTTCTATTTTTCGTATTTCGTATTTAATTGAATGCGCTAAGTTACAATAAAATTACAATAATAACAATGAAATAAAATGCTGTCAGTCTGTTGTTGAGAGCATCTTCTCTTCATCGTCATCCGTTGGGGCAGCAGCATCAGAACCAGAGAACTAAAAAGGCTCAACAGCCTGGTAAATCAGGCTGGTTCTGTTCTGGTTCTGATCTGGTTTAATTTATATTAATTTCAATTAATATGAGCTACATTTCATTTCCCTTTGGGATCAATAAAATATAAACTGAACTAAAATGATGGCAGTTGAATTTGAATTTCTGTCTCTTAATAAATGAAATCATCATTATTTGTACTTCTTCTGGTTATCTTTGTCAAATATTAAAATGTCTTTGATTATCTAAAATATTTAAGTGTAACTGTAACAGCTGCTTTGTCTTCCTTTCATGGCTGGTGTACCCTCCTGAGTGGGTCAGAGCATTTGTTGCCAGGGGAGAGAAACTTGGTTATTTCTGTATTTTTTATTTATTTTTTTATTTTTGGCAGCTCTATTCCAACAGTATTTAATT